AAATTCATTTAAAGTGTCATAGCTTATTTTTACGCTGTCAAGTTGTGTTGAATAAGTAATACATATTTCAAAGAGATTGACTAGACTAAGTATAAAAATCGTGATTGGCCACAAATTGATAATGAATAATGTTAAGCATCAAATATAGACTACCTAAGATATAAAAAGACTCTCACTTTTAAAAAAAAATTGAACTCTACCGATACACTTCTCAAGTTTTAAAGATATTTTCGTGGGTTACATGGATTATTGATACTTTCAACGTAGTAAAATATAAATTGAACACAATTTTACAAAAATCACAAGTTATTTTAACTTTTACCTTTGCACTCACCATTTATATTTGGATTGGCATATTGTCACCTTAATTGAATTAATTGGTAAAACTTATTTAGAAAAGAATAACATCTACATAATAAACTTACTGTTTCTATTATTTTCTATGCATAACCTTTTGACAGTATTTCACCAACTAGATTTAAAGATTCGTGATAAATGTAAACTATTTGATACATTAGTAGGATCCATCTTAAATTATAGCGGAGAAGTGTTTGGATATTATGATTGTAAAAATATAGAACTTGTGCTTGTAAATTTCATCGAAAGATCCTTTGCATCCGTTAATCAACAAATCTAGATGAATTATATGGAGAAATAGTGATATATCCAATGGCAGTACACCGCCAAATCATAATGTTTAAGTCACCTGATAACTCAATTCTTTAAAAATGTACAACATGCCTAAAGGAAATGCAGATGATGAGTTATCATACGAGAAATGAATCAAATAAAAAATATACCGAACCAAATAGGAATGCCTAACGTCTGGCTACAACCAGATAATTTTAATATTAATGTATGTGTCATCAAACTAAGAATTGTAGATATTTATAAACAAATTTGGTATTCAAACATCAATAAATCTAACAGACTTTCGTCTAAGAGTCATTTTAAACAAGAATTTCAGTGTGAAAATTATATAAGCGTTACCATAGGATTGCTTTAAACAAATTTACACTATCAGCTCACAATATGGAGATAGAAAAAGAAAGGCACGATAATATTCCAAGAGAAAACAGAAAATGTTGAAATTGTCCATTACATTTAGTAGAAACAGAATATCATTTTTATTAATATACCCAAAATATTATAACTTACATAGAAAGTATTATTAAACCACATTTTTGTAGATTGTCTACACGGCAGAAATTCGAAACACTGATGGCAAGCACAAATATCAAAACATTTAATAATCTAGCAAGTTATCTGTATTATGCATTTAAAGAAAGGACAAAACTTTACATTTTAGCCTTTAAGTATCCATAAAACTTCTTTTTCCTTATGCAGACTGATAAAAGGGAGAAAACTACGACAACAAATGCTTAGTAAATATAACGGTTATGTCACATAAGAAATATTAATAATTGCTGTTTAATTGGTGGATAATTATTTAATACAACGTAAACAAATATCTCTCTACTGTGTTAAAGGACATTTATTTCTTACATGTAGAAGTATTTTTATGCAAACTCTGTTAGATATGTCGAAACCTTTGTTTGGCTAACTAACTGTAACTTATGACACTTTACACCACACAGTATCTGAATTGTATGACTATAAATTGTATGTATACAATTTTATGTTGAATATAATATATTTTATGGTTCTGTGTTAATATAAACATCCACTCTTATTTAAATATGACGTATTAATTTTTTTACGAGCAAGAACATTAATAATGCTCAGAAATTTCCGTGCTTAATCCATTAATGAAAGCAAAATTTAACTGAAAAAGGCCTTTTATGCACTATCAATGGCTTTATTTAAATGTTTCATAGCTTTCATCGCTTGTGTTCTGTAACAGTTATAAATTAAAAAAGATACTATATGCAAAAGCTATTGATCTATCTTTTTCTTTTGTTGCTTTTTGCAATAAGCATATTGATAATGATTTAATACTTTACATAGAAGTCAAAATCCTGCTTTTTTCACATTGATACTTTATGATAAATGATTTCACTTTAAGTCCTTCTTTTCTTCTAGGTGATATATAGCATATAGCATGCTCTTAAACTATTTTTGAAACTTCTTTGAAATCTTGTCTGCCCTTACTGGGGCATAATTTTCATTATATAACATTATCAATACCAAATATTTTATACCGCTGTTTGTTTTAACTAACAACACGTAAGAGAGTTATCATAGTTAAGTAGCAGTACGTCAAACTTTATTTTCTGACGTTCATCTAATATTGTATTTACGAAATGTTAAATTAAGAAGGAAATTTATTAAAAGGCAATTTAAAACCATTATCTAGGAAAATGTAAACATAACATGATTATTAAAGCACTTGTAAAAAAGCTTAAACTATAAGTACTCAAGGAAAATGATATGAGAAGAAGTCATCCCCTTTTTTTAAGAAAACATTTTTTAAAAGATCAAAATTAAAATGGTGAAATTAAAATCCTTGCAGACATTTTGATCCTTTTAAAATGTCTTCAATTTGAGTGTAGAGTAAACTTATGGAGTTGTTAAAAGCTTTTATCGCAGATTGATACAGACTCAGATTGTAATGTTTATGTAATGAAAAATCCTTCACTGAACTAGATCCATCAATCTCAAAACAGGCACCAAGAAACTTGGTTGTGACAAGTGTATTCTCTAGACAACATCTCTTGTAGATATTTTGATATTATTATCTGAAGAAAGTGTGACTGTAACGAGACATTCAGTTAAATATTTTAGCCATATTTGGTTTATTTACTTGTCCAATAATTGTGATTAATTATATATTATGCCTCCCAAACATGAATAAATGCCGCATCTTACTTTTTGTTTGTTTACATTATGTTTGCACTCATAAATTGATGCCTGAAACTTTACGATTATACACAACTTTCTTGCACTAATGGTTTTACCGTGAAACATATAATGTATACCTGACTCTCGGTGGCTGAACATGTAGCTGGTTGTTTTTTATTTCTTGTTTTATCTACTTCAGCATATGTATCATCACACACTGTGGCAACTTTTTGCTTCTTTATTGGTTGGGAATATGTAACTTCCTGCTGATCGTCTGCATCGGCAACATCGTTTGTTGTTTCAATATATTCATTTTCTCTGAATTTTCAAATTTAATGATAATATATATGTCGTTTTGTTCATTTTATTTCATTCCTTTCCTTAGTATTTGCGAAAAGGTCAGAAATGCTTGTCTGATTGCAATATAGACTTATATACTTGTAACATTGCTAAGTATTGAAATATAGGCTGAAATTTTTTGACCAATTGCTTAGTGTTGAGGTACAGTCTGAACAATTTGCCTAATTTGCTAATTTATCTAATTGCTAAGTGTTGAGACAAACTGAAATACTAACCTCATTGCTATGTATTAAGATGCAACTTGATTGATTACTAATTATAAACATATACAGGTTGAAATACTTAGCTATTTGCCTTATCGCTAAGTATTAAGATACAGTTTGTAATACTTGCTTAACTTATGTGTTTATTTTTCCTATTTTCATTATTATTTGTAAAACTTGAATCTCACTGCCGTAATAAAATATAAATTTAGTTTATTTGTTAAAAGATAATTGCATAAAGGATTTATACTTTAAATTTGTAATCTTTTCGATCTTTACTTTTGGCTGAATATTAACTGCTTTTGGATATGACGTGAATGAAAATATTTAAATTGTACGATATGTCAATGGTTAAAGTATAATCTTGGTAAATAGTATATGATATAAACAAACCGCAAAGGAAGACTGTTTCTTTCAAGAACTGTGTCATGTTTCGCTGAAAAGAAATTTTGAATCTAATGAATAAACACTCGATGATTATACTTTCTTCAATGTTTAAAGTGTCAGTGATAATAATGTGAAAGCATAAAAAAGAGATAAATGGAATCCGTACAAAACACCTAAAACACAAAATTGAAAGGGGGAGCGGTGGCCTAGTGGTTAAGATGTCTGCCTCTCAACCCAGAGATCATGGGTTCGAGCCCTACTCGGGTCACGACCATGTTTCTTCATATGACACCAGTACTGGTTGGTTCCAGGAAGCGGACTCGAAAGTGATTAATATAAGTTGCAAGAACTTGTTTCGCAATCGAGCTTAAATAAATATGTTTAAACCAAAATTGAAAACATTGCAGGCTCGGTTTGATTGAGGCTGTTTATTTACAATACTTGAAAGTGCATGTCATGGTCCAGGCCTCTTAACATCGATGTAACAAATAGGACGTACTTCTGAATCAATATTGATGTAATGCAAGGACTAATGTCATTAAACATGTATTTAAATGCGTTGTACTAAAATAGATAAATACAGAATCCCTAAAGAAAGTCCAACACGGCAAAATTGAAAATGTTGCAGGCTCGGTTTGATTGAGCCTGTTCATGGACGGTACCGGAAAGTGCAAGTTACCGTCCACGCCCCCTAGCACCGGCTTAAGCAGAATTCAACATTTAAACATGAAATAGTAAAATTTAGAATTTAGAAACATCCGCAGATGTGTTCATACGGCGGTTATCATGGAACATTCAATGTGACACTTCCGTGCCATTCCATGAAAAGCGGCGTATGGTCCCCAAGTAATAAAAAGCGTGTGCCCCAAACGAGAAAACAATGGGCGGAACTAAATAAAATGGAATTTTGAAAGGGGATCAGAGGCTATGAAGCCTGCGTATCACAGATAAGACGTCAAAAGACAAATTTAAACCATGTAATTGTTTACTTGTGGTGAGTCCGTACTCCCAGTGCCTGAAAGGGCGGACAGATCCTCATTAAGTTTAGAATAGAATGCAATTTTCACGCCTAAATCTTGCATTCTGCTAAAGCTAGTGCTAGGGGTGTGGATGTTAGCTTGAATTTTGCATAAGTGTCCGTGAACAGGCACAACAAAACCAACACTGCGACATATCGATTGTTCCATTTTGGACGTTCTTTTAAGGTTTACATTTTTGACCATATATTACTTTAATGGACTTTTTTGTCTATTTAAAAAATCAAAGCGTTATAGGGAGTTGTTCCAACAATTAATGTATTTATTTGTAACATCAACTAATATGTATAGATTACCTTGATCATTGTTCCGCTTGTCTCTGATGATTAAGACAACTATGACAACTATTACAAGAAGCGCTGAACATATTCCGGCAATGAGTATCACATTTATAAAATCAACACTGTCTGAAATTTTGTGAAATAAATGGTTTTTAATGGCAATCAATAAAGTAAAATTAAATTCACATTTTATATTTCATTTAAATGACCGCACTCTATATGACTAATTGAGCGCAGTTTATATTACTTAATGAGCGCAGTTTATATTACTTAATGAGCGCAGTTTATATGACTAAAGTAATGGTGAGATCTTCATTTTGACTTGTTTATTTACTGGAATCAATTTGATACGCTTTGTCTTAATTTATAGAAACACTGTTTGTCACGTAAACCAAGGCGCAGGAATGTAAAAAAAAGATATTGCACTATAGCATTAATAACACTTTGACTTGACGTCATTTACGTATACATGTACAAACATAGCGTTAAAGCATGTAAGCATTACACTTCCAATGAAATTATTCTTTTTAACTGTAAACCGATCTTATTTTGAACATGTGATAAAAAGAATATTGTATTCGCGTAGATTCAATACTACATTCATTGAACTCGTTGTATAAAACAGACTCACGCTCGATTGAGGCTCGCATAATTTCAGTATTAAATCTACATTCATTCAATATCTCCTTTCTAACAAGCAAAACAGTGGACTGGGTGAAATTTTCTATTGCACCGTTTTCAAATTCATTTCATCGGCAGATATTGTAGCAATGTGTCAGAATACACTCGTAGTTCCAGGTAAATGTTTTACAAAGAGAAAAAAAACGAGACATTTAGAAATGATCAAAGCAACATAACACATCATCGTTACCATAGCAAATTAAATAACAAAACTTAGGATTGCCTTCTTAAAACATTGTATTTTCATTCTGATCTGATGTAGGTTTAAAAGAAAAAAAAGAAGAAAAGAAGGTACAAGATCTTGCTTACCAGGTTCGTGGATATTAACAATCAAAGTTTTATAATCTTGGAATTGCAAATAGCGTATCGCACACATAAAGTATTGTTCAGAGATGACATCTGCATTTACGTCTAACACACATTCCTTTTCATAATCACATTGCTTCTTGACTTTGTCTTTCTTATTTGTCATCTCAATCCAAGATATATTAGAAGCGGGATAGCTGTCAGCTATACATTTAACTTGTGCTTTTTCTCCTTTAGTAATACTTAACATTGGTCCAGAAATATCGAACTTTATGACGGGGCGGTCTGAAATTTAAATGTTATTAAATATAATCATATTGCCATTAGAATAAGAAGAAAATTTTTTCATGTCAATCCGTTATCAATGGTTAATATTAAAGGTGAAAATTCAATACGCCAAACATGTCACATGCACCCGCTAAGGGTCTGAAAAATCATACAGATCTAGACACATTGAACTTCATAATCTGATGATTTGTATTAAGAAAGGTTCACAGTGTGACGAAAACTATCAGGTCTGCTTATCTTATTGAATAACAATGTTTATTTTATGCTTTTCAGTGGATTACTGATTTATCCGTGGAAATTATATTTGATAATTTCACACTGAAAATTATCAAAATATAATTTCACACTATTCAATGACGAAACTACTTTTTTAAGATTTTCCCCATGTGGTACTTCAATTTTATCTTTGCTGACAATTCTGACAATATCAGGCTGTTTAAAGAAAAGCAAAGCTGAAATTGATAAATAACTAAATGTAAAAAATAATAAAAAGAAGAAAACATACTTCTATTCATTCAAATTCCAATCACCAAATTTCGTCTCTAATTTTTTTTTTTTTTCATTTTTACAGTCTGAAAAATACATTCCTTCCACATGCAAAACTGCTCTTGATGACATTTGGGCATATTGAAGTATCCTACGAGTAATAACTGCCGTATGCTTTATGAAAACTTGAAAAGCAATGACAGCCATCAGCCGAAGAAAAAGTAAACAACCCAGCGTTCCTGAGCCAGCCTTTGAAGTTTTCCATTTTCCTTGCTGCTTTTTGAATGTTTTCACATCTGTCAACACTTATTTTTTGTCTGTTACAATCCTCAAATAAGTTTTCTTTCTTTTAAAAAGGTGTATGACTAACTAATCTAAATGATATCCCTCTGAATCAAACGTGAAATACACAACGTTTAAAAAATGGCTGCCGCTTACATTTAACAAAGCCAGGTCTAATATAAATTCGCAGTAAGTAACAAAAATATGGATGGATGATTGGACTTTTTCTTCTACAAGAATTGTTTATTTTTATTATTAAAACAAGCGATCATTCATATTTTTTTTAATAAAATGAATAATATCACCGTCATTTAACGTTGATTATCGAACTTATTTTTCAGCTCAAGACTTCTTGTATTTAATGAGGAATTCCCGACTAAATGGGGTTTTCAATGGGGAAAACAGATTTTAATATTGATGTCTATATTATGGAAATTTCGTTTTAACTTGTTTTTAAGCATAAAATAAAAAGAAAATTTGTTTGTTTGTTGTGTAAGATGTAATTTTATTTCATCTCGTGAACTTTAAAAACAGTATTCTCACTCATGGCTACGCCACTCGTGAGAATACTGTTATTGAAGCCCACTCGATGAAATAAAATTTCATCTTACACACAAACAAACAAATATCCTCTATATATAATCTGTAAAATGCAGTGAATAATAAAATTTTACAGTGACTACAGTTAAATCTTCAAGATTCATGCTAATTTTCATATGAAAAATGAACATGCATTTCAATGTATAACAAAGTGAACTTACCAAAAAAAGCAATTTTCATATTACAAACGGCACTTGCAATCCAGTCATGTATAATATATTATTAAGAATAAAGAACTTTAATAAAAGCATTTCTTATTTTATCAAATTAAAATGGAAATATCCAAATCAAAACACTACAATTGTATCTATCATATTATTGTTTTAATTTCTTATTATTTAATAGCTTTTATTTCTGGAAATTCCCCTTTAAACCTTCGTTTTTTTAAAATTGGTTTTGACTATTTTATATTTTAGAAATATCTTTATTTTTGTTGAAAAATTATCTAGGTTGTTTGATAATGTAAAAAGGTTATCATCATGTTTTACTTGAAAATAAAATGTGCATGGTCTAACATACGCTGTCATTTTAAATCTTAATAAACAAGGTTCAAGAAATAATTATAAAGAAAAACGTAGATAATGGTTATAAATATTACATAGAAAGAAGCAGCAACGTCATGCGATAATATACAATTACAAATGTTTATGAAAAAATATAAACATTTAAAACATTAACTTCAATGCAATCATTCTATATCAAAGAACTGAATTGTTTTTCAATAGAAACTATATAAGTGTCCACCAATTAAGCTGTGTAACTTTTTTTATAAATAATTGTGTATTAGCTTACATGGGACTTTTATTGTTTTTGTGTCTCTTAGTTCCATGTCTTGGAAGTCTGCACAAAAGGCAGCACATGTAACTTCTTTACCATCGTCTTCTTTACTGACATTCAAGTGAACGACATACTTTGTTTTCCACGCACAATGCAGAAGACTCGTGTTACTTGAGTTCATTTCTGAACCGATGATTCTGCTGGCTGCCGTGAAATAAGCTCTGCAAACCGGATTTGAATTGTTCAGTGTACATACAGCATACATATGAAGTGGATCTACCGAGTCAAATTTGATTTCAAGTTTGATGTCAGATGGAGGAACTGAAAGAAATCACATATTAATTGATTGTTTGACTTGACACATGAAATCAATTGCTTTAATTCAATGAACATTTATGGTTATATAAACGTATTGTATATTATTGTAAGTATATGTCCCAAATATTTCATTGGAAAGAAGTCTCCAGGCTTTCATTTGCAATCCGATATTATTACATACTTTATGCACACTACTATATTTATCCTGTTGCTCATTTTATTACATATTCCATATTTCTTTAAATTTGTAGTTAAACGTAAATGAGATATACTTTGAATCTTGTTTTAGTTGTAAAAGGTATGTTTATTAAATGATCTCCCACTAATACTGCCATTTAAAACTTTTTAGAAATTTATCTATTTACATGTACTATTATAATAAAAGATAAGCAAAGCAAATTGCGGCAAAATCCATTAATTTATTATACATGTATATATATGTTAGTAAGTTGACTAGCAATTATTCATCATAAAAGTGCATTTTTTTATTTTTGGCATTCATTTTCTGTCTTAAGAACTTATAGATGCTTAGAAATGTTGATAAATATGTGTTTCCCTTTAAATACTTAATTAAGCGTAAAACACTTACACAGAAATTTCACTTGTTCCTGACTGGAACAATATCTAGGTATGTTGTACCATTTATGACAACTACAACAGATGATGTCCTTCCTATTCCATTCTCGTTTGAATGTTGTCAAAGTGGTAGTGTTGTTGTATAACAAAGTTTCTTTATTGAATGTAGGTATTGTATTAACGTAAGTAGGCGACACATTTACACCGGAAATGGTTAAGTAAACAATCGGAGAAGGTCTTGAGTTTTGACTCTGACATGTGATATTAACAGGACTTCCTTCTTTAATAAAACTTGGTGTTGATAACACAACTTTAGCAGGAGGCTCTGTAGAAAACATAGACATTTTAAATTTAAGTTATATTTCTCCGTGGTGGAATACTACGTCATTGCGCACCTGCAAAAAATTCTCAATTCTTGTTTTGTTGTTGTTGCTGTAGTTGGTGTTTTGTTGTGTTTTGTTTATTTTTTTTTTTTTTTTTTTTTTTGGGGGGGGCAAGGGGGTGTAAACATCCCGTCGACTCGAAGGTTCTAAAGCTATCTTTGGTATGCTACATTATTTTTGATATTCTAACAATTGCTAAGAATAAAAACAATTTCATCTTCGAGTCGACAAAAAATAGTCCGACTAGTAGCATTTTGCAGGTGCGCGATGACGTAGTATCCTACCAAGTTGTAAATTATCTACACGTGTCTTTTGAAATACACGTGCTTCCGATAAGTTAACAACGTTTGTTTTATTATATGGAAACACATTTAGCTCTATTAAGATGCATTATTCCTAATCAATTTTGGAATCACTTTATGTTCAGAACTGTTAAGCATCTATGTTAACAAAGTCTATATAAATGGGTTAAGGTCTATTAATTTATTAATAATAATCTATATGATAAAATATTACTTACTAATAACATACACTTTGGCAGTTGTGAATAATGGTGATGTTAACGCACTATTCATTACAGCACAAGTGACTGTTGTATTGTGGTAACTGTTATTAAGTGTGATAAGTGCTTTATAAACCGATGTATTATGCTGCAGGGCATTGATTTGCTTGTCTCCTACTGTCACATTAACATCAATGGGTTGCGTCCCGCCACTTGTCTTGCAATGAACTTCAATGTACTCTTTGTCAGAACCAACAATGCATTCCTTACATTCATCAATGTCCTGTAGACCTTTGAATGCTGGCGCACTTGGTCTCACTACAAACATATACACATCACTAATGTTATGCAAATGCATTTACAAATGTTAGTAAAAACTATAGGTAACAATTAAATATACATGTATGTTCACAACACAATTAGCATATGTGTGTCATTCACACTGAACCAATTTTGAATTGAATGCAATACTATATATCAGTGTACATGCGCTAGAAACAAGCAAACATGAGAAACTCTTTGAATGCTACTATCCAAGTCATTTTCCTCACAAAAGATGACAATAGTCTTATTAAATCGTAATCTTTTGGAATTTGATAATACATAATAATATAAATTTAGTCTCTTATAATATTTACATACATACATGATAAGTAAACTGTTTTTTTTAAAATTATGAACATTTTTGTAAGATTCGCATACGCGCATGATTTTGGTGCTTAGAATAATAATGAGATTGGAATTAGCCTCAATTTTGACATGTTTACCGATTTTGAAATACGTATCTTCCAATCATTTAATCACCGTGTCTGTGAATTAATTATAAATGTTAAAAGACACAAATCTAACGAAATTTAATAACTTTTTCACTTTAATTACGATTAATTATATGATAACAGTTAGTGCAAACTATTTGACTGTAGATATTGTATATTGTGTAGTACTTAATCAAAGCACAGAAGGCGCTGAATTTGTTTGGGTCTCAGAATGTCAGAAAGGTGAAGGTTGTGTGATTATAAACCAGTTTGTTATTGTATAGTGCCACCAATGCTTTCCAGTGTTCTAACTGTAGTAAATTGGCTATAAGACTAATTGCAACACTGACAGTCAATTCAATGTTTATTTGACTTAAGTTTTTTTTTTTTTAAAAAAATGCGTTGTCTCAACTGGGATTTGAATTTCAGACCTCTCGATTCATAAGCGAGAGTGCAAACCCCTCTGCCACGGTGAAGTTATATGTTAATGGCCTGTAGAAAGCCATATTATTCTGAATTAGGGTTTGTAACTCTTATTATTTCGACGCTAAACCTGTTGTTTAACACAGATGTAAATAATCATGGAGCTTACTGTAAGCATGTATATCTATAAAGAATGAAACAATATTAGAAATCTTCGACCATTCGGGAACTACTTTGCTTGAAAATTAATGCGCCTGTCATATATATTTGACAATCTTTACGCATTGATCTCCCCTGAATTTTTCGGCGTTAGTGTACATATAAAGGGAAGTAACCGCTTCAAAACAGTGCACTACTTTAGGCATTTGCAATTAACAGCATTGGGCTCTGAAATTTCGCTACCATTATTTGTTTGGTCTGACGACCCAAACAAATAAAAATTAATGTAAAATAATAACGCCATAAAACATCGTTTTTTCACGTCTTTCATATTAACAGATTACTCGTCGTTTAATTTATTTGATATTATAATAAAAAAATATGTCTTTTATTTCTTTACCTAGTACAGTCACTGAGACATTATTTGTAAACCCCACATTGCCGCCACATTTTACTCTGTAATATCCGTTCCTACTGATGTTTGCCATGGAAATAGTAAGTACTTTCATCCCATTGTCTGTCTTATCTATTTTGTTATAAACATCTTCAGTTTTTCTGAATGTCGTATGTCCATTTCTTGATAGAGCAAACTCGAGAGTAAAATCATCAGGGTTTGCCGTTGCAGTTTTAGACGGATAATATTCTAAATTTATATTACCGCCCTCCAGTACACGTTCATTTCTCAGGGAGACAAACCCACAGGGATTATCTGAAAACAAATTCGTTTAAAAAACTATAACCTATAAGTGATGCTGATTTGATTCATGATCTTGACTATACATATTAAATTGTACATAGAAAAATAGCACGAAAAAATGGTACACCGCAGCCTGGACTCGAACCACGGGTCACTGGATTCCCGGTCAAGTATGCTAACCACTACACCACAGCGGTTCGCAGCGGTTCGAGTCCCGGCTGCGGCGTGCCGATTTTTCGCGCAGTTTTTCTATGTACAATTTATATATAAAATAAAGATTATGAACCAAAATAGCATCACTTATAACATATAAAAAGGAGCATAATGGTATTAATATCTTCACACTTAAAAGATATCTAAACGGGTCTGAACAATTTATAAAAATCGAATAAAAAGCAACATTATCAAACAATAACAATTGATCAGTAAAGGCACTTGAATTTTGATTCTACAACAGACATGATTTGATTGATTTGAAAAAACTTCATATGTAGATCGTATAATTTCTATTTGGAAATAACTGAACAAATAGACACACATAATACAGTATTACAAGTACTGTAACAGTAAAACAACATTCGACCGCATTATATTTTGTGGAGTTACAGTCAAAATATCATCCCAAGGAAAGTACTGTTCACAGTATTTTCACGGAGGATGATATTTGTATTGTTACTCACAAACCCGTGTGTTATTTATTTAATTACCCCGAACAAATCATCTGAAAATACAAAATTGGGCCAAGAGTACCAATATCTCAACTGTCATTACCTTGACAGTTGATAAAAAATTAGGTGATAAGATTTTTGTACTGTTCATACCCTGTAACAGTACAATTTTTTTAGTCACATGGTAAACTTGCTTTAACAGTAAGAATAACTCTCAGTGACCTATGGGAAACTACATTACAAAAAAGTGAGGGATAATAATATAAAATAACCGTTTGTTTCATCTGCCTAATAAATCTGCCATGAATACTACTCCTCCATATATTTTAAATAATTTTATCTTTTTACGCATCAAATATCGAAGATCAGAACCGAAAATGTTTTTTTT